AATCTTGGATGCAAGAGTTCCCCTCAGTATAGTAACAACATATAATGCAACAGACAATTTGTATAATGCAACAAACAATTTGTATAATGCAACAAACTCTTGGAGGGGCTTCATTTTCCAAAGAGCCCACTGTGAGGTTTGGTCTGGGAGAAACTGGACCTGACCCATCAGTGCGAGGGTGCACCGGTTGGGGTTCCTGACATCCAAAATTGGTCACTAAATGGGTACCAGAGAAAGGTGAGCAATGTTGGAACTAATTTTTTATCATAATTAGACAAAATCAGTCTTCAGCTTTGGTGTCCTCACCAAAAAAAGGTGCTGGAATGGGTTCAGAGTAGGGAAATGAAGCTGGTGAAGGATGTAAAGAACCTGTTCTGGGAGGATTGACTGAGGGAGCTGGGGACGTTAAATGTGGCAAACAGTTTGGACCTGTCCATAAGGGTTCAACACACGTGTCTGAGCTTTCCTGCCTTGTTAAAAGCTGCTCTAGGTATTCTTCTTGCTGGGTTTGGTGATGCCCTTCCCTGAAGAAAGCACTGGTAGGTTCAGGAAAATGTAAAATAATGGGAACAGAATTTTTAGCAGGGCCTGTAATGCCAGAGCAAGGGTTTCAAACAAAAAAAAGACAGATTTCAACAAGATACAATGATTTTTCAATGAGGATGGTGAAACATTATTACAGGTTACCTGGAGAGGTGATGGATACCTCATTTCTGGAAATGTTCAAGGCCGGGTTGGACAGGGCTTGGAGCAACCTGAGATAGTGGGAAGATGTCCCTGCTCAAGGCAGGGGGTTGGACTAGATGCTCTTTTAAGTCCCTCTCCAGTCCAAATTATTCTATCATCCTACAATTGTATGGTTCTATGAAAAACCCTCCTTTTCTGGAGATGGTTATGTCTGGGATATAGTAGGAAACACAGATTTAACAGCAAACATTATGGAAAGATGGATTTTTAAGAGAGGAGTCTTAGTATTTTTCACAAAGAAAAGGTATAAAGTGCCCACCAAAGCAATGATTTTGTAAATCCATTTGTAGGCTGGCAGTAAATTTCAAGACACCTGCAATGAAAATTAAAAGCTTTATAATTAAAAATAAGCTTCTTAATACAATATACTGATTTCTGAAATACACATGAGAACTTATAGAAGAAAAATATCAGGAGAAAAAAAAGAGCTGATTTGGAGGAAAAGGTACCAAACATGTTCTAAAAGCTTGGATTTTACCAGAACTCAGAAACCTGCCTTTCCATGAGCTCAGCGAGCAGCAGAGGGCGCTGGGACAAACGGATTTCTTTTAAACTCCAGCCAACAATACGGATTTGCTGGGAGCTGGATACTGAGAGAGACAGACTTTCATTTATAGAGATCCATGCTAGATTAAAAAGGCAGGGCAGGATTTAAATCCCATTTCTGAAACAGGGCCTTGATTAGGGGCAGGCAACATTAAAAGAAAAAAAAATTCTGGAAAAAGCACATGAGATAAAGGTAGCATAACTTACTGAATTAATTTTTTTTTCGAGTTCTCAACAAAGTAGACATCCTATTATTTTAGGTTCTCTCTCTCCAAGGGCTATGAACAAATATTTCATTGGGATAATTAGGATATTCAACCTAGTCTGTATTCTCACTATTCTATAGTGAGTAATACTCATGGTATTGAGCATGGAGTATAGAAGATTTATTCTGATTTTAAGGTAGAGTTTGAAACACCGAATGGCGTGTTAATCAAAAATCAATGTAAATAAGAACCTGCAACTTTATCCTTAAGGATGAAAGATTCATATCAGCCTCATTTCTAGCAGAGGAAATATTTGGGTGCTTGTAATTCCCAAATATGGACCTGGATCTCTTGGAGCAAGTGCAAAGTGGAACACAAAGATGCTCTGAGGATTGGAGCGGACAGGTTGAGAGAAGAGAAGGCTCCAGGAACACTTTAGAGCCCCTTCCACTTTAGACCTCCCTGCCTAAAGGAGCTCCAGGAGAGCTGGAGAAGGACTCAGGACAAGGGACTGGGGGGACAGGACAAGACAGAATGGCTTTAAATTGAAAGAGAGGAGAATTGGAATGGATACTGGGAAGAAATCCTTCCCTGTGAGGGTGGTGAGGCCCTGGCACAGGTTGCCCAGAGAAGCTGTGGCTGCTCCTGGATTTCTGTAAATGTCCAAGACCAGGCTGGACAGGGCTTGGAGCAGCCTGGGATAGCGGAAGGTGTGGCAGGGCGGTTGGAGCGGGACACCTTGCAGCTCCGATCCGAGCCGGGCCGTTCTGCGGGCAGCGAGTCCCCATCAGAGGGCGCCGCCGCTCCGCTCAACGCGCTCCGAGCGCCGCGGCTTCCTCCGCCCTGGGCACGGCCGCGGATAAAGCCATCCTCAACAATAATGATAAAAATATATTCCTTTGCCGTCGTACCTGCCAGGCTGAGGCTGCAGCGCCCAGCTGAAAAAAACACCCGATGTTTCCCATGGAAAATATTGGAAAAGCGCGGCGCAAACTGCCGGGAAAGGGCTGGTTTTCCCCCTTTGTTTTTTTTTTTTTACTTTTGAAAGTATGGGTTGTGGTGGTCAGTTTTAGGTATGTGTGCCGCCTTTTGGACTCGGGGTTCATTGCACGTGTTGTGAGGGATAAATCGTTGCAAGTGTTGCTGCGTGGAATTGGTGAATTAAACTGGAGGCAGCTGCGGGGGTGGGGGTGCAAAACAAGCGCAAAAACAAAATGTGAAGAACCTTACTTTTGCAAATGAACGCTCGTTCGTTTGTCATGTTTTGCAAATGGAAGACAAATGTAATAATAGCGGGGTTTAAAAGTCAGAATTTACCGTCTATACCAATGTGTTAGCAAGGAGACAGTGGACGTCAAGTCTATTTTAGGGTCTTCTTTTTTTCACTCCCCTCCTCTCCCCTCCCCCAGCTCGCAGAACGTATTTAATTCAGAGTGCCACGGAATGGTGAAGCATTAGCCGTCATGAAGCTCATTCACTCTGCCCTGTGCCAGCCTTCATGACTCAAAGACTTCCACAAAAGTGATGGCAAACTGTCCCTTTATGAGCTTGGTATTTTTCTAAGAGGGTCATTCAGATCTATAGGTGCGTAAGGGTGGCTCCGTGGGTATCTCCGCACACCCCCGTGCAAACAGCTGACATCCTTTCTCCTTTTTCAGCATTTTTTCACCCTATTGCCTCAGTTGAAATGATCAGTCCAACCCACTCAAAGATGTGCCCTTTTTCTGCTCCTCCTCAGTGCAGCACTGGCTGTGCTGAGAACAAAACCTCGTATCTGCTTTAATAACTTCTAGCCAGACCGTTGTCCAGCTCCTGCTGTAATATCTGGCCGCTATTTGCCTCTTGCCTTTTGTGGGTTGAGGCTTCAGGAGAAGATGCACACTGCGAAATGGGGAGGGTGGTGTAGAGGCTGAGGGGGGAAAGGATGAATTTATGCTTTCTGCCTTAATTTGAGGCTAAAGCGAACAGAAAAAGCAAAGCCCACCCTTCCCACCAGCCAACCACACACCAGCAAATGTGTCTCCTGATGAAGTTCTCCTCGTTTCCGAGATTACATATATATATATATATAAAAGCATCTTTACCTGTAGGACCTTTGAAAGTACAAAGGACACTGTGCACTTTCCCATAGGATCCCGTGCAGAATAACAAAGATTTGTAGGAACCTTACAGGTAGAGCTTGAAATTTCCAGAGACAGGACCTTGAATTTAGAAACACCTTCTTTCTCTCTGTCTCTCTGTCTCTGTGCATCATTTTTTCCCCATCTTTTTTTCCCCTCCTGGTGCACCAGCCCACTGCAAAGCTCGATTGTTTCCTCTCAAAGGCAGAGATGGGCTCTGCTGCCTGTGTCGGCTCTTTGCCGCGCAACGTGTTAAAAAAATCGGACAATGCGAAGGAAGGTTTGCCTGGGGGGGAAAAAAAATAAAGGTTAAAACTGGTCTAACTCCTCCTCTCCCCTTCCAAACCGAGGGCTACCCGTGAAATGCACACATCCAACTCTATTTTTAATCGTTTTCTGAAAGTAGTAAACGCTATTCAAATGTGTGCATAGAAGGGTTTGCAAAACTCCTGGTTTTTTCCATTTATTTTTTCCCATATTAGGTATTTCTAAGTCATAAAATATACAGTCCAAGCTTGAAGTCTAAGGCTTTCCAGTGGAAATCATTGATCTAAATTTGCTCCTTTTAGATTTGCTTGAACGTGCTTTGATGAGACGCTGTTTTGGTGTTTAACTGCATATGAGAGGATAATTTCTGGACATGTAAATAAAAGCATATTGCATGTGGGGAAAAGCACCATATCTTGTTGTAAATGATGAATCACTTAGTGCAGAGGCAACTTATCCTTTATTTTATCTTAAGGAGGATTGAAAAATATTAATTTCATTTCATCTATCTATCTATCTATCTATCTATCAATGCATCCATCCAACCATCTACTAAAATAACAGATATGTGAACTGCATAATGTGTGCATTTAATCCTTCTGTACCAAGATATATATGTGTAAATGTATAACTAGATTCACATATATGCATTTAAATACACTCCCATATAAACTAACCAGGTTAGCGTGCACATGTGCATATGTAACATGCAGTCTCCATGTGCCCACATGTGGAAGAATATATATAATTTACATATCTAAATGTGGCAACTAATATGTCTACACACGGGGAAAAGTTGCCTGTTCAGAGATATACATGTGTATGGGTGCCTGCATGTGTAAATCTGTGATGGTGCAGCTCTGTGTATGTATATATTTTATATGCCTGCACGTAAGTCTCTATATGTGTGTATATGTCTATATCTAGTCACATATATGTCTGTAGCTATATGTAACTATGTAACAGAGAATGTTTTTTACTATCCGATTGAGGTAGGCTTCTGCAGCCTATTGTTTCAGACAACAGATATAAGTTGCGATGGAAGAGGAACGTCGGATTTGGTGTCTGTCCCCCATTTCCAATTATAGATGGATCATTACAGACAGAGAAGTACTGAGAATCCAGACATCTGCTCTTCACATGAATGCACTCACCTCCTAGAGAACAGCCTGCCATCATGCTCTGGAAACTGGTTGAAAATGTCAAGTATGAAGATATCTACGAGGTGAGTATATAATATGCATATGAGTAAGAGAGTATATGTATATTTAAATATACATCTAGCATATAGATACAGGCATGGCTATATAATACATATATAGCTCTACATATGCATCCAGGGAGAAATAGAGATATACACTAGCACACAGGAATATAGAGATGGGAAACAGAAAGTAGATGCTTAAATGCTTATTTATTTGCATATTTGTATTCAGCATGCCAAGTCCTAAACTTTTTATTTTTTTTTTTTCACGGAAAAGCTGTTTGATGAGATTTAAAACATCAAAGAAATGATCTGGGGATTGGAATGAGGCAACTTAAAAGCAAGAGTTTGATTGTTTAGACCTCCAATTATATATAATTCGATTAAATATGGACAAATGTTGAGGAAAATTTTTAAAAGAGAGAAAAAAAGAAAAGAAACACAATCCGGTATTCAGGGACTGGATGCATTTCTTTCTTTTATTTTTTATTTTACAATTCCAAGCTCAGATCAACCCGAATATGGATTTTTTTTTTTATTATTGTTTTTTTTCTTGTTTTCACAACCGGATACTTTTTTTACGACTTTTTAATACCTCTACACCAACAGATAAGATGTGCGTGTGTACATATACTGGCATTAATTAAGCGGCACATACATTCTTGTGCGTGTGTGAGTTCACACACCCGAACCGGTGCAGTCAGAGGCAGCTCCGCATAGTCCGCGGACACGAAAAGTTGTGAGCTTTATCCAGACCTTATTTTCGAGGTCAAAAAGAAAACCAAGGGGAGAGGGGAAAAAAAAAATCACAGCTCAAACACTGTGAAACCTTTCTTAATTTTGCACGGTTTCCTGAGCCGGATCTTTCCCAAACGGGCTCCGCGAGTGTATTCCTTGTAAGTTAAACCGGCGTGCGGGATTTTCTCAGAAACGAGGGGGGAAGAAGAAAAAAAAAAAACCTGAAAGGATAAGTGAGGATGGCGCTCCACAAAATACTTTAATTTTTTTCTGTTGTTTTTATTTTGTAATTGAGGGGGAGGCGTTTGCGCGGCGATCACGGGGGGATATTTTCAGAAGGGCGCAATCCGTCACCTCCAGCGCGGAGCTGCTCCGAGGGGAGGCGGCCGGGCAGGGACGGGGGACAGGGGACAAGGAAGGGACCGGGGACAGGACAAGGGCCGGGGATGGACTGAGCGCTGAGCAGGGACCGGGGACGGAGCAGGGATCGGCCAGGGACGTGGCAGGGTCTGGGAAGGGACTGGGGATCGAGCAGGGATCAGCGACGGAGCAGGGAGCGGGGACTGAGCAGAGGCCGGGAAAGGACCGGGCACTGAGCAGGGACTGGAGACAGGGCAGGGACTGGGAACCGGACAGGAGCCGGGGTGGGACCGGGCGAGAACCGGGCAGGGGCTGGGTAGCAAGGAGAGAAGGGACACAGAGCGAGGGGCAGCTGCTGGGCAGGCGCCGGGGATCGGGCAGCGGACTGGGAAGAGAACGGGCAGGGCTGGGGATCGGGAAGCGGCCGGAGCCCCCCGGGGAAGCGCCGTCGGGGCAGCCCCGTCCCCAGCCCCGCCGCCCCCCCCCCATCCAGGAGAGCCTTGGCACTTACAGAGGGGAAACTCCCGGGAAAGGCGCAGAAAGAGACCGAGGGAAGGTACAGCTCCGGCTGCTCCCGGCCGGAGGAAGGACGGGATGGAGGGAAGCGGGGAGGGGACCCGCCGGCCGCACGGGAGAAATGTCTCACTCCTAAAAGCTGCCGTCAGGCTAATGACCATGGGCAAAAGCCAGCACTTGTAGAAGGCCCAGAGAATGAGCGCTCACACGTGTGTGTGTGTGTGCGTGTGTGTGTGTGCGTGTCCCCGCGTGTCCCCAGCCCGCTAAGCCCTCGCTGCTTTTCCCTGCCCATCTCCCGGCACAGCCCGGCCATTGTCTCTGCCCGCAGCAGCAGGCGACAAAACATCTCCCGTGCCTGCTGCCGAGGGATGAGGGCTTTTTTTCCACCCTGCTTTTGATGGGGGGGTTTAAGGCGCTGGGGGTTTACGGACACCCACGTTTGTAGGTTGCCGTGGGAGAGAAGAGTTGGGGGAGCGTTGGGTGGGATTTGGCCGCGGGCAGGCTGTATCCTAACTTGGGGATGCGCTCCAGGGCATTTTGTAACGTGTAGCCCCGCCAAAAAAAAAAATTGTTGTCTTTTTTTTTTTTTTTTTAAGACCTGAAACCCTCTAGATTTATGCTAAAAAATATTTCTCTCTCTTCTTCCCGATGCATAATTAACAACACGATGGTAGAGGCGTCTCAGCCACTTAAGCTGAATCTGTTCTTAAAACAAAAGTGTGTGTGTGTGTGCGTGTGCGTGCAGGGGGGGCAGCTCTGGGAAGTGTGAGTCTATTTAGGAAGGAACGTAAGTTGAACTTTAACAGAAATGGCAGACAGTCCAGTTGAACGGGTTCCTGCAACATCAAAAAGGTTTTATATCGCCCCTGGCTTTGCCTCAAAACTATAAATTTGCTATCCTTTAAAATTCACTCCATGCATTTCACATTTGGGTGCAAATAGGGAGAGCTATATACGTATATACATTTTTTTCATATCAGGCGGTAAAAAGATAATTCAGACCAAAAAAAAATGTGGAGCCCAACAATGCAGATTCAAGTATTTATTTGGCTATTGTGAATAAATATTATCTGTAACACGCACCAGAAATGCTTAATCTTCACCGTAAATAGACATATGTTACAGTGACTGCACGTTTCTTCTTCCATTCCTTAAAAAAATTACCAAAAAGAAAAAAGAATAGAAAAAAAGAAAAGCCTCTTTTTCTCCATTATTTGCTTAAAAACCCAAACACCAAACTGCAAGAACAAAAGCACCAAAGGCAATCAATTCCTCGTATTAGGAATGTGTCATTAAATATATATTAAAACGAAAAGGAAATATACTTTTCTCCTCCTCTTCTTCTTCTTTTCTTCTTCTTCTGCACCTCAAGCATTGCTTCATCTCGCTTCCTTGCTCCAGCTCAGCAGTCTCTGCTTTCCGCATCTTCCTCCGCTCGAGTTAATTGAAGTTCTGCCTCTTCCTCGCGAAACTTTTTCCCCCCTCTCCCTCTCCCCAAACTCTGCCTCTGCCAGCCCCCCTCGTCTGATTACATCTAGTAATTCTCCACTGAATGAACGTCATTTACAATAGTAGGGGAGCTCTCGAGCTGGCTGCCAGCTTCACGCTCCATTTGGTCCTGCATTCTCCCTTTAAAGTAGTCGTGTAATATTAATAGTCATGAATATCAATTATTATGAGGCGGTGTAGAGAAGGAAAGGGAGGAAGGGGTAGCGGAGCAGTCTGAGCCTAGCCTTGGGTTGAAGAGGATTGTATTTTAGGAGCTCAAAGGCAAAAAAAAAAAAAAAGGAAAAAACAAACCAAAAAACAAAAACAAAAAAAAACAAAAAAAAAAAAAAAAGAAAAAAAAAAGAGGAAAAAAACCCCGAGAGGGAGGGGTAAATCATATATGTAGATAGAGGTTTCCAGGCTCGGTTTTGGGGGCACTGGTCTTTTTTTTTTCTTTCTTTTTCTTTTTTTTTTTTAAAACCTTTTTTTTTTGATGGATAGACTTCGAAATATCTCAAGCTGTTCTCCTGTGTCCAACACGTCCCTTTGCAGATCTCCTTGATATTTTTCCCTCCAATTGTTAGTATTATCACCATTATTTTATTTTTAGCTATTACAAGACTTTTTTTATTTCCAGATGTTAGTCCACACCTATTCCGCCATGGTGAGTTTGGATCCATGTTGTACTAGAATTGCATGTTCTCTCTCTCTCTCTCGATCTGTTGTGTCTCTCTCTCCCTCTCTCTGTCTTTTTAAACGCCTTTGGCTTGGTAATTTAGCACAATAATTGGAGGAGGCTTGCAGCTGCTTCTCCCTTTTTGCATTGTGTGTTCCCGATTTGAGCTAGGGGAGTCTGGGGGGGAGAGCAGGGGGAAAAAGAACTTTTTTTCCTTGTTGTTTTCTTTTTTTTTTTTTTTTAAGCCATGTGTGCCATTGCTTGTGGGGGTTTGAACTACACTTTGTGGAATAGATATTTTTCTTGTTTACTTTAACCTCGCAGCTTCAGTGCGTTGGAGTTGGACAAAACTCCTCTCCCACCTTTTTTCTGAAGCCTCTACACACTCCCCCCACCCCCTGTCCCCCCCACACACCCCAAAGACTTTTCATTACAATTAACCCCCACCCCGTTCTCCGGAATATAATATTGGAAAAGGAAACAAAAGACACTGGAAGTTGCTGCAGAAATCATAGCGCCTGGATGTTCAATACCGATGATTCATTTTTATTTTATTTTATTTTATTTTTAAATTATTTTTAAGGGGTAGACTCCCTTTAAGCAAAGATTCCCTGCGATTTTTATTTTGGCTTTTTGGGTTTTTTTTTTCCTTTTTTTTTTTTTTTTTTTTTTCATTTTCCCAAGTTCTTCTTCGCACAACTTCTCACTTTGGAGTCTTCCGAGAAGTGCAACTTTCTTTTTGGGCTTTTCCACATGAAAATGGGTTGGTGATTTTGAGTTACAGGACTTGAGCAGAGGGAATAAACAGATTTTGGGAAACTTCAGGCAGGAGAAGGGGTGGGTTGTCTGGATAGACGGGTGGTTTGGTGCTCTTAATTTTTAAATGTTTTCTTTTTTCCCCTTTGGTTTGATTTGAGGGGGCTGTGGATTGGGAATTATACTACTGGTCTGAAATTGCAGATCGTACGTGTATTTGGAGCACTAGTCCTACATTTTTAATTATGACATTTAGCAATTCTCCCTCACACCCCCTCCCCTTCCCCCTCCTTGATAGTTCCTGGGAATAGACACGACGTGGGTGCAAAATGTTGGAACATTTCTAATAAGTGGAGGGAGAAGGGGGCACGTCTGAATCCCACTTTCCAGCTGTTTACATCCTATTTTATTTTATTTAACTCCGGGGTGGGTTTGTGCTCCTTTTGACATCTCGTGGAGTTTTTGTTGTTGTTTTTTGATTGGGCTTTTTTTTTTTTTCTAAAAACGCTCCTCTTTTTTTTGTTGTTGTTGTTTGTATGTCGTTCCGCTTGTAGGACCGGCATGATGGAGTGCCCAGCCACAGTTCCAGGCTGTCCCAGCTGGGATCCGTCTCGCAGGGACCCTACTCCAGCGCTCCTCCGCTCTCTCACACCCCATCCTCGGATTTCCAGCCGCCTTATTTCCCACCCCCCTACCAGCCTCTTCCTTACCACCAAAGCCAGGACCCTTACTCCCATGTCAATGACCCCTACTCCCTAAACCCCCTGCATCAGCCCCAGCAGCACCCCTGGGGACAGAGGCAGAGGCAAGAGGTGGGATCAGAAACCGGGTCACTGCTGCCACAGCCTCGGGCCGCCCTGCCCCAGCTCTCGGGACTGGACCCCAGGCGGGACTACCACTCAGTTCGGAGGCCAGATGTCCTCCTGCACTCAGCTCACCATGGCCTTGACTCCGGCATGGGGGACAGCCTTTCTCTGCACGGCATCGGACACCCAGGCATGGAGGAGGTCCAGGTAAGGCATCGCTTTCCTTTCTCCCGGGCAGTGCAGCTGGAGGCCCCGTCCCCGGGCTAGGAATGGTCACTGAGGGATTCCCAGCAATATTGCTGTGGGTTGACATTCTTTTTCCACACCGGTTTTGTGACTGTGGTACTCCCCCTCCCTCTTCCTTTATTTTTCTATTTTATTCTCTTTTAAAAATTTATTTCCTCTGCTTTATAAACCCTCCCCTACATGGCAAAGCAGCAAAGTGCAGGGGGAAGGCAGACATGCTGCTCTAAATATTCCACGTGTTTCAAAAGCTGGCAGAGTTCAAGCTTGGCTTTTCAAATTCCAGTTATTTCCCATGCAATCTCATCTTCCACTCCCCTCCGCCCTCCCCCATCAA